CCTCTTCCCAATCCCAAGGATGTCTTCTGACAAACAAAACCCTCGGCGTCAACAGGATGGGGCTCCGGGGCTGCCGCAGCCACAAAAGCGCCCATCAGGAAACCGGCGGTGGCTCTGCCCCCACCCCGGGCTGTGTGGGAGGGGGTGGGAAAGGCTGCACGGTCTGGGAACGGCTCCGACCCTCCTCTCCTTGGTCATTCCTGAACATTTTTAGTGTCGGTTGCTGTGCTGGTGGCCCCTGTGACATCCTCGAACATTGCTCTCCAGCATCCCCAACAGCTGCCGGTGCCACCAGTGCATTGGAAAGGGACACTTGGCAGAATGCCTTCTTCATGCCATTATTCCAATCAGGATTTCTTGGTGAGGGGCAGGACAGGAGGGATCCAAGATCTCWCAGGCAACTGCGTGGGTGTGATGGCTGCAGGGAAGGGAAGAGTTTCTGTGGCTTATTGGCAGGTCAGCAATTAGCAGGCAGCCATGACCCCTCTATTGCTGCTCCATGGACACACCAGCAAAGGTGAGAGCAGCCAGGCAGCTCCATCCTGGTGCTGTTTTTATCTAAGTTACTAATTACACATTACCCATGTGTCAGCAGGCTGATCGATAGGAGTCTGAGGGATCAATACGGATGTGGATGACGCTGCTGTTTGCCATTCAGAGCCTGCACAAGCTGTGAGAAACAGGGCACCATCGATCCCAAAGGTGGGCTGGGATGGACAGTGAGGGGGGAGGACCARACACTGCYTTGCTAAAGAACACGGTGACAYGGTGACACTGGGACAGCTCCTGCCCAGGGACGTGCCTGTGCTGCCCCCAAGGCTGGGGCAAACCTCCCACCCATCCTGTAGCTCTCCCTTGGAAATGGCACAAGCCATTGTTACCTAGGTTGTTTTTCCGTCCACGGGAATTGATGCATTTAAAAGGTTCACACTGATCTTTGTTCTTGCTGGATGATCAGTGTCTGAAGAATGGGCTACTTCAAAAATCACAAGGYCTGCTGCATTTTGCTGAGCTGCTGAACTGGCCAAAAGCTGAGGCCATCTCTTTAATGCCATCATGCTGCTGCCAGTAAGGATCTTGGCTGCAGATTGCAATCAAATTTTCCAGGAAGAAGCTCTTGGGACTACCATGAAACCTGGGATTACAGTGTGGCTAAATGAGGGAATTGCATAACTGGAGGTTTCTGCCTGTCTTGCTGGAGTCTTGTGACTGTTCTGATTCTGTCGTGGCAATGCTGGGAAGTTGCTCTTTGAAACCAAAAGAACTTTGGAAAGGCACAGGCAGGTCAGGATGGTTTGCCCTCAGCACTGGGTTTGCCTTGAGCTGTGAGTTGATGGTGGTAGGATTGGACAGAGAGCAGTGTGGAGTGAAAGCAAAGCTCTCCCCAAAGGCTTCCTGTGCTCAGCTGTGCCCTCACCGAGGTGCAAAGCTCTGCAGCCTCCTCCTGTCAGGCCCTTTCCCAACATTTGGCACCAGGGAAAGGAGCAGCAGCCATGGGGAGGTGGGATCAGCCACCCCTCACCAGCAAAGCAAGAACCCTTTGCCTGAACAGCACACGGGGAAAAGCTTCCCAAAAGCAACACAGTCCTGGTTTTACTGAGGCTTATAGGGCAGCAAAAAGAGCTATGGAGGGAGGCTGCTCATCCTGCCAGTGAGAACGTGTTCCCAAGCAGCAGATGGAACCAGCTTCAGTGCTGGACCGTGGTCACCAGCAACTTAATCCTACAGCACACCCATAATCCTTCCCTTTAGTCCCACAAGCCCCCAAAGCAGAAATCTTTCCAGATTTGCTGTTTGATGGGGTTTACTCAGCTTCAATCTCAGGTTGCAATCTCAGTTTTCACCATGGAAAGGCCGTTCCCACGGGACTGGAGGTGCTCCTGGACCACAGAGCAGACACAGTCCATGCTAGAAACCTGTCAGAGGCTGCTCTGGCTCACAGCACCTCCAGGTTCAGGCAACTCGTGTGTGGCAGTGACACTGCTGGGGACTGTGTGGGCTGTGACAGCTCAGAGCAGAGCCTTGGGGCTCCCCGGGGCATCACCCACAGGTCCCGTGGGTAAAGCCAGTGCCTSACACACTGTGATGGCCCCGTGYTCCTTCCAGCAGCTTCAGCAYTGCCAGTCACTCAAAAACTGCTCTGAGAGCTTCACAGAGATGAACTGTGATGTCCACAGGCCCCTGGCAAGCTCCAGAAAGGCTGCACAGGCACAATCAATCTCTGAGAACAATCCCTGAGAACCATCCCTGTCCTTCCCTTACAGCCCCATGCAGCAGGAGACTTTTCTTCCTGGAATTAACTCCTATTTTTAAAAYCCCAGCAAAGAGGCTTTTGCTGAAGGACAATTGGCAGGATTTCAGCTGTGCCCCCATTTGCCCTCCCTGTCCCTGGGGTCAGGACCCCTCTCCAGCAGAAGCAGTGGGCTGCAGCTGAGGATTGGGGCATCCCAAAGATAAGTGGGTCAGCTTGGCTGCCTCAGTCCCTTTGGAGGTGCTGCCATGCAGATTTGGGAGGAAAGATCCCCCAGAAATGTAATTTCAGTGAGCTGACACCATGAACAGGGAGTGAGCCCCATCTCTAATCTCACAAGGGCAGCTTTGACTCTGCAGGGTGTGAGAGCTGACAAATGTTCTTTCATCCTTCCCCCTCTCCCTGTTGCTCATTTACTCTTTCATTAGGRATCATCCTCTTGCCATTTGTGTGGGGATGTTGCTTTGTTGGGTTTTTTTTCCAAGGAGTGGATGCCAGGCATCAGGACTGGTGTTCAGCGGATGGTGGCAATTAGCCCAGCCCTGAACCCTGATGGCCTGTCTGCATCTGCAATTAATGCTCTGCTCTGCCTGTGAGTGGGTTTTATCTTCCTTCCTTCTGGGGCTGGAAAAGGCACAACTTGGATCTCTAAAATTACAGCAGCAAAGTGTTAAAGCTGCAGATGAGCCTGATTGCTGTGGGGCTGCTCTCAGGATTGATCCTRTTTGGTTCAGGAATCAAACCTTGGCCTCTGCACCTGCATTTATGTGGGTACAGCTCAGGGCATTGTTCTGAGACCTTTCTGGCTCTGCTGGTGCGTCTGCTCATGCACTTTGGCCTGTTTCATACTCCTGGCTGAATGCACCTGGCTCTTTATTAGGATATTGGATTGCCTGATTCCATATTTTATGGTATTAAGCTTATTTACTCATGCCTTTGGTGCTCTAAAAAAATACCTCATGTTGGCTTTRTGAAATGGGAGTAAAATTTGGATTTCAGTGGGAAAATGTCTGGGCAGGCAGAGGAAAGGTGACTACRGGGTCTGCTGTGCTTCAGGGAAACCTGGGGTTTGGGAAAAACTAAACCCCACTGTTCTGCCAGCATCTCGAGGGGTGCCCTTGGCAGAGCTGCCCCACACCCTCCATCAAAAAGCTGCTCTACCAAATCCCCCGGGCTTGCTCTGCTTTCCTCCCCTCCCATATGAATTCATCTATCCTAAAATCCCTGTTTTTCTCTGAGATTATGTGATTTTTGGGGAGGAGTTTCTCTCCCTGTCACCTCGCTGCAGCTGATTTCTATTGAAAAGCTTCCTCCTAGGGAGGGAGGGGGAACAGGGAGAGAAATTATGGAGGGGCAGCATTTCTGAATCCAAATACATTAAACCATTTAATTCTGTTGACTCAGGGCTGCCTGGCTCTGAGTGGGAATTAATCCACAGTGCACAAAATTAAAAAGCACAAGACAAAATGCTTAGCAGGCAATGCCAGGGTTTAAAGCAACCCATTAGCTTGCTCAAACGTCTCCAGTAAATTTTCATTTGTCAATAAYGCTTAGAGCCTACAGTTTATTTACAGCCTGTTCAATATTACCAGAACCCCTTGCAGTGCCTCATTTGTATTTATCTGCCACAGTCAGTTTCCTTTCCAGGGACTCTTCCTARTCCTTTGCTTTGTATCTGCTCCAGACACAGCAGGGATGTGCCACCCCCAGGCAAAGGTAATGTGGGGTTACCCTTTCCTACCCCAATTATTTCCCCTGCAAGGGCACCCTGAGCCAGCTCCCAGCAACCCATCCCTGCTGCCATGGGGCTCCTCCAGCCTCTGTCCCTCACCCAGGGGACCCTTGGGCCACCAGCCAGCGTGGAGGGGTGATGGGACACTGGGAGAAGGGGACAGGAACAAGCAGCTACCTCTGTAGAGCCACAGCCCGGCTGAGCTGGAGCACTCATGGGTGAAAGGCTCCTCCATCTGTCCCAAATCGGATCCCATGGGATGAGCCCTGGTGAGGAGAGCATGTAACAGGATTTCCCCCCAAAGCAGCTTGGATGCTGCCAGGCAGATAACAGAGCCTGGCTGKCCCTGAGAATTTCTCCAAGGAAAGGAGTTTATTCTCGGGCACAGACACGAACGGGCAGTTTAATCTGCTGTCTTGGCTCAGGTCCAKTTGGGGTGGTTTGGTTTAGCACTGAGACATGGCTCCCTGCTGTGGTGACCCCTCTCCAGTAGGGATTGTCCCTTCCCAGCTTCCTGCCCTCTCCCTCTGCACTGGCACTCCCCCRAGGCAGGAATACAGACAGTTACAGTGGAATTTTATGGATGCAGCATCATGAGGGCTGGGGAGTCTGGGGGAGATACAGGACAGGCTGGGCAACCTGCCTCAGAGAGAGGAATTCCTCCAGAGGCTGAACCACAAAGATGGAGCTGGACACTCCACAGGGAGCATCTACTGGACCTCAGGAGGTGCAGCAGCACTAACCACAGACCCCTGTCCCACACAATATCCTGAGCTGGGGGCAGTGAGTGAGTCCTGCAGCCCAGGCTCTGCCACAGACCCATGTATCTGCTTGGGGGTGATGTTCAGTAGATTTCAGATGAATGCAGGAGGCAATCACTAAACTGAAGGCCACTTGTGAAAGTTTGCAAGTTCCCCACGCTGCTGATCTCCAAGACACCACGAAAGGTGTCTAATCACAGGAAAACAGATTTCCACCCATCTTTCCACCCCACAGAGCAAAGCCCCCMTCACTTGCCTGCTGCTGTCTGCATGTAGCCAGCCAGGGTGCAGACTCGGCGCTCGCAGGCTCCGCCGGGCAGCAGGACAGCGACGATGGCCAGCAGGGAGCTGAGGGCCAGCAGGGCACAGCCGCCYGCACACAGCACAGCGCTGGTCTGGAACAACACAGGGGCTGTCAGAGAGCTCYCCCAGCACCCCACCTCCCCACAAACCCCCCTCTGGATGTGTGGAATGCAGCCCTCCCACCTCTTCCCTTCCACCTTTTCCCTTCCACCTTCTAACGCTTCCATTCACGAAGTCTCGAGCCCGGTTCACCCATCCCCTGCTCCCAGGGGTTACAGCACCRGGGCTGCAGTGATAATAGCAGGTGTATTACATGCAAGAATACACTTGTCACCAAGACAAGTGCCATTAGATGGCTGTGGTGCGTGTCAGTGCCTCTGCTGAGAGCTGAAATGGATCTCATGGCAGCACCTGCCTCAGCAGGGATGGCAGTGAGGAGGAATTTGGGGATCCCCCTGCTGCTCTCATTGCATCTCTGCTGACGTGGCAACTGCTCCCACCCTCAGCAGCCTAAAAAATGGGAAAAGCACTAATTCATGGCAAACCCCTTGGGTACAGATGCCCAATCACTGCACTGTTGCTGTTTCTGTCCCCATTGCAGGTGACAATTTGTGCTGATGGGATGGCACCGTCAGCAAGGTGTCCCCCAACAGGGACACGGAGTGAGGGGGCACTGAGGGACCTTCCCCCTCCAGCACCCAGCTCTTGAGAGAGCTCAAGCAGCGTGAGGACACCTCAGTGCCAGCACTGCRGCAACTCCTGTCATTTCACAGCGAATTCCAGGGAACTGCTGGCTCTGGTGAGTCACCCTGCAGGAACATCCACCTCAGCTCCCTAAAGCAGCACAGCTCCAAGGCAGTGCTCACTCCTATCTTCCTCACGAGCTTCACTTTTACAACCTGACCCTGAGGAGATCAGTCCCACTTCACCCTTGTCCTGCTGAGATATTCTAGTTAGCAATGCACAATTTTCTTTTTTAATTTTTCCTCCTATATTTGAGCTTTTGGGCAGCCATGGTTATCACAGAAACAATCCCCAATACCGTTCACCTCTCCTCACCAAAGAGGTTTGTGTTCACCTCTCGTCCCCAAAGAGGTTTCCATTCACTTCTCCTCACCAAAGAGGTTTCCATTCACTTCTCCTCACCAAAGAGGTTACAAATCAGGAATAAATAATCTGCTACATGTGAATTATTCTGCAGGAACTACAAGCAGGCTGGAATTGGATTTACCCTGTCATGGCTGTGGGGCTCCAAACAGCTAAAACCGCCTCCCATTAGTGGTGCTGCCCCACAGGTCTGGCACTGCCCCACATCTACCCCTGTTATTTGCTGCTGAGCTGGTCTTTAGCAGCTGAAATGGCTGGTGCTGGGTGACACAGCCACTGCCTGCAGGGTCCTGCCCAGCAGCTGCTAAAAAAGGGACACACTGGGAGGGACAGGCCAGGGGAGTGTGGGCACCACCTGACACCCCRGTGTGAGCAATTCCCCTGGGGCTGTGCAGTGATTAGAAATCAGCATCTTATTTATAGCCTATTTATGCACTAAGCAATGCAAATGCTGTCCCAGCAATAAATTAATTCCTGACATGCAATGCAAAAGGAAGAGCAGTGCAAACAGCTACCCAGAGAAATGGAGAGGCTGTTCCAGCAGGGATATCTGCCCCTCTCCAGAGCTTTCCAAGCCACTGAGACCTGAACAGACAAGTGCTGCTTCGGGGCTGAAGATATGAGGTTGGGGCACCCCGAGCAGGGAGCAGCCCCCCTACCCTGTCCCTACACCAAGAGGGTTTGGGATGGGATGGGTGACCCCATTGCCTGGGGCCCTGTAGGGAAAGCAGTCCCAGTCCTGCTCCCCCACTGCTCCCAGGGCAGCAGCATGAACAGGAAATCTGGATTCCTAACAAAAAAAAGGATTACTCTGCCTGGCATCTGCATTTCACCTTCCGCCCGGCAAAACCATCCTCCTTTGCGAGGACCATTAATTATTTAGAGCAATGAATTTTTCAGCAGAAAGGGGTCTTGTGAAGCAGGCTGGTTCCTCTCTTGTGTGAAGCATATTATTTTTAATGATCTAGGTTCTCCTTAATTGTGATAGCTCAAATCCCCTAAAAACTCACAGTTCCTGCTGAAAACAAGTGATGAGCTGCTCAGACTGCTAATCCCCACGGAGAGCTGTGAAGGACTTTTTCAGGACAAAGGGACAGGAAAAAGGTACAAACAGGATGGGTGCAGGTGAGTGTTAMACCGACAGGARAGTTGGTCTGGTTTGGGAGCTGCCRTCAGGGTTTGGCAAYAAGACTGAGGGGTCTCRGGGCTGGCAGCACCCTGATGTGCACAGGGGTGGCCATAAAAACACCAAATCCAACCAGGCCTTGGCAAAGGGAACAAAGGTCTTGTTGTGAATAAAAGGGAGAATATTAATGGGGCCAATAGATGTCAGTGGTGAGGTCTGGTACAAGGGATGGCAGGGGCACAGCTGCCCCAAAAGAGGTGACAGYAGAAAAGGGCACATCTCTGCTCTTTTTCTGGCTGCCACATTCTGCTGGRGCACCACGGCCAGAGCTGCCTGAGCACGAGGTGTGTGTTGACATTACCTGCCAAAACACTGCATATGCTCTTGGAAACCAGAAACTTTGTTTTTGTCATAACCTTTCCTCAGCTGGGAATTATCCCAAATGCTCCCACCCTGTAGTGCAGTTGCTCCTGCAGATCAAAAAGCTGCTTTCAAAGAGAAATAACAAGGTTTAAGTTTGAAGAAATCCATGGAGCAAAGRTATCAAAGAATAGCAGCTCAAATCTCTCCTTCCCACTGTGCAGAGCCTCCCTCTCTCCTCCCCGTTTGTGCCTGTTGCATCTCGAGCAGAAAGGAGAGGATGCAGGAAACAGATGCAAAGGCTGAAACCCAAAAATAGACGGGGTGGGAAGGAATAGCAGCGATTCAGGAGGCTGCCTGTGAGAACCCAGCTCAGGCAGGGCAGGAARAAGCCCATTGATCCCAAAAAGAGCAAATCCTGCCAGGGAAAAGCCGGGGTGCCCCATCAGTGCCAGGGAGATCCCCCSAGGGAGCCCAGCAGCCCTGGGCTGTGAGCAACCCTGTCACACTGCAAAAAGACATAAAACCCTGTCAGATTTTCTGCTCCCACTCCCAGGGAGATTAATTGTTTATCCCCAAACAAATTAATCGTCCCCTGGTGGGACTGTAAATATGCCTTTATGTAGCGTAATAAATTCCGATTAACAACAATCCCCTGCCCGTTATTTTAGTGTTTTACAGGTCTGACACATGCCATGGCTGGGCCATTCACTGAGCAATAAATCTGCTGAAGATGCYGTTTCATTCACTAAAAAAATCAAAATTAAAATGTCACATAATGGCCATCCTGGGAAGAATTCCTTAATATCCCTAATGAAAAGTTTAAAAAAGTGAACTCGTCTTTGAAAGCAGGMAGGGGGAAGGGAAAATAAACTGTCCAGTGCAATGTTAAATGCTGAGAAACAGCAAACCTGGTGTTTGGTTCAGCAGAGATAAACCCAGCTGGCAAAGCTCCTGCCATCTCTATGAACTGGGTCATGATGCACATTAGTTTATTAATGCAATTTATTGATTGGCACTTGACCACCCCCAACAGCTGCCATCCTGGATGGGCTCTGTGGTACCCAGAGCAGTCTGCTGGGGTGGTCCAGCCCTGCTCAGATGCTTAAGCATCTTTGGAAATGGGGGCAGAAAGTAAATGCCCAAAATAACTGGGAAATAAAGCCACAGGCTCAGTGAGAAAAAAAACAAAAAGTGAAGGTCACGGTGTGTCTGGCTTTTTGGGGGTGTCTGTTGAGACAGAAAATGTCTGAGAAACCCCAAATGAGCTGGCGAAAAACTGTAAAGTCAGCTATAAGAGAAGAGGGAGCAAAATTAATCCAATCATTATAATTTTTACATGCAGCCMTTTCCTATCAGAGCTCTGTGCGATCAAATATTCATTTTGGGAATATTTTGGGGGTTAAACCGAATAGTGCTGTAACTGCAGAGGCAAAAACTGAACGGACTGAACTCAGCGGAATTTTAACCTCGTTAAAAAAACAAATCAGTGCTGGACAGAGGTGCTGAGCGGGGCCCTGAACTTTGGGATTTGCAGGAATGTTGCCAAGGGCCCGGGAGGCCGATGGAGGCGTGGGCAGGTGCCTTCTCTGCCTTCTCCTTMGGCAGAGGCGCCGGGGATCCCGGTAAAAACCAGGAATCTCCACCTGGGAACACGAGAGAGGCGCTGCGTGCGCGGGGTGGGTGGATCGAGCCTCGCAGCTTGTTCGTATTTCCCCCACACACGGCACAGAAACAAACATCCGCCATCTGCTCGGCACCGCCGCGACGGCCGGGAGAGGATCCGATCGCACACAGCCTCGCCTTCCCCTCCCCGCCAATTACCGCCCTTTGGGCGCCATCCCAGAGCTTTCTCCTGCCTGTTTGATCCATCCATTCCCCCTCCATCCCGCTGCTCCCATGCAGATTGCGTCGCCTGGCCGGGGTTATCCCATCCCCGAGCCAGGCACGGAGCTCCTGGTGATGCTCCAGGGGTGTCTGATGTCCCAATGCCCTCAGCCAGGCTGTTTTGGGGATAAAGAGAAACCACTGAGGCTCCAGCTCTCATTTCTTCCCCTTCAAATGCAGGATTTGGTGGATGGGGACCTGTCCACACCACAACATGTACAGGGGGTTCCTCTCTCCAGCTCAGATTTGGCTGCTTTTGCACAAAATTCAGCACCACCACCACTAAAACAAAGCTCAGCCAGTCCTGAGCTTCCAGGCAACTTTCCCACTAATCAGCATATTCAACAAAATACCAGAGGGGTTAATGCCCAAACTAATTCAAGGAATGGGGGGAAAAGGCATTTTTTTTAATTAGAGAGAAAATAAGAGACAGTTAATACGTCTGATGAGTTATGGCTGTGTCTCTTTCGGTGCCATCGCATCTGGGGATGCTGGAAAGCAGTTCCTAATGGCACAGCTTTATCTAAGAGGATGATGGATAGTAGTGAAAGAGAGAAAAAAGGGAAAAAGTAAGACATTAGCACATCAATGGTGTGCCTGTGACCTCCATCA